CATACAACACGAAAACCAAACAAACAAACAAAGACACACACAAACAAAACAACTTCGCGCCAATCTTACCACCAACGATCGCCATCCGAAACCGATCCTTGGTAACGTCGAAGCCCTCCCCAGCCTTCGGCTGCCTTTGTCTCCGGCCTGGCCAGCAGCGCCTCCAAAGCCCGGGCCGCCTGGAAGGATCCGTCTGCAAAACGCCATGGGCCCAGGCATCGATCTTAGGCCGGGTGTTCTTTGGATTCAGGGCCCAGAAACAAAGGCCAAACGTCGGAGCAAGCTTAAGCGTTGGACGAAAAGGGCTGCAGCCTGACACCTTCTAGACTTCAAGAAACAGTCACTATCTATCTGCATTTCCATCCAAAGGAAGTTTTGAAGGAACTTCCGCGTTGCGAATAACAAATTGAAGGTGGCTCCGTGCAAAGAGAAGATGTGGAAAGAACAAACGCAAAAATGAGCAACCCTCTGCGGGTTTTGGCTTCTCCGGCTGAAAGCTACCCCGTCGCAACGTCTCTCGAGACGGGTGCGGAACTGTCTCGGACTGTGCCCACGGTCACGGACACGCGCACTTTTCGCGACATCAAGTTTTGTGACAGGCGCGGCACCTTGGCAACCTGAGGTACAGATTGTGTGGCACGCGCAGCACCTTGTTGCGTTGCGCTCAGGTTTCGTGACAGGCGCAACACTTTTTGTGGTAGGCGCATGTAGGCGTAGCATTGTTGCAGACTGAGGAACAGATTGCGTAACAGGCCCAGCACTTTGGCAACGCTGGAATGCGAGTTTTGGACATCTGACGCGCGCAGCGCTGTGTCACGTGCGCATCTCGTGGCAGGCGCTGCACTGGCACTTTCGCAGAGAGAGAGAAAGAGAGAGAGAGAGAGAGAGATAGAGAAAGAGAAAGATAAAAAGGAAAACCGACAAAATACATTTTTGAAAGGAGAAAGGAGAAAGAGAAGATAAAAAAATATGTAACTCGAATTCATCTCTGTTGCACAAATTGGGAGGAGGAAAATGGGTGCGAGTAGTTGCCTGGCAACCCCCTCAGTCGAGCAAATAGTGACATGAGGCGGGGGCAACCCGTTCAGTGAGCTTTGGGTGTCGAGTAGCGGGTCTGGACCTCAAGCCCCATGAGCCATGAGAATCTGCCCCCCGCCCAAAAAGCCTCGCTTCGTCAAACAACGACACTGGCAACTTCCCAAGGCCCAGCAGGCTGGCAGTCAATCCCCTGCTTCATTTCAAGCAACAGTGCCATCTTGAGATGAGCCCCCTGCCGGACCGGTCTGAACGGCCCCAATTAGTGTTCTAAATAGAATACAGCCCATGGCAGCACACAAGACAAACGTATTGCATGCATGCGCCCTCTCATCAATGGAAGGCATCCGCTTCCTTCCCTGTAGAATGCTTAAAACCTGTGGTGGTGCAGCCACCATGCTTCCACCATGCAAAAACAGCTTACCATCGTAAGTCCTTGCAATTGTCAGTCAAATTGATCCGTTGTTTACAAGCTCCGTGAATGAGGAGTCTGGCAAAATCAAGGACTGTCAGTGCCCGAGTCTGTCCTTAATGACATCTATAGGCATCTAGAATGGCACCCAACCCAGGAGCTGATGAGAAAGCAATGAGAGAGCAGGCTGTTAAACAAGGGGTCACAAAGAAATACCTACCCTCCAAAGGGATGCCCTTTGGGATGGTGAACCGACACCCGCAAAACAAATCATTTGGAGGGCTCTGGCTTCGACGCATACCCAAGCACAATCAAGTTTGGATGCTTTGCTCTGGTCTTAGCTTAGACTGAAAGCATGGTGCGGATGGAAGGGATCGGTCACTCCGTCGTCGCTTTGCCCCTTCCAGAACTCAGGAAGGGCATCCCGCGCCTTTTGCCCGTAGGTCATTGTTAGAAGCCGGCGGCCCAATTTCAACGTGCGTGTAAACCATCATAGTCGGAGAGGACCCCACTTCACGTCCTTTGCCCATGAAGACATGGGTCTTTCGATTTTCGAAGTACCAAAGTCTGTTCTGTTGTAGCCCTGTGCTCATATTGCTTGTCTGGGTGACAAATAGGGGATGGACGAAAGAGACATATTCGCCCCCTTTGACTCACGTGCTATGTAGCCTCGGGGAATCCACGAGCCGTCGCCTGATGCGGCATTCCGGCGAAGCGCCGCAGGGCGTCCTCCACTGCCTGCGCCCGGGCAACCGCAAATTTGATAACACCAAAATTGTCCCAAACTGATTGGTTCACTACATGTGGGTGTGTCGCCACCCGAAATTTTACCCCATATCATGTTCAACCAGAACTCACCACCGGGTTCATTGCCATCCTGGTGACTGGGATTGCTATTTTATTGATCCTGTTTGTCTGCGTTGTTGTTGGCTCCGCAGGCATTTTTGCACAGTTTCCCAGATCCCTCAAGTCAAGCCGTGTGGCAATCAGCATGTGTTCTTCAATTCCCCATCCCGCCTCTGTATCGTCTGGAAACATCTCAAAGAGCACTGCCTGCTCATGCGGTCACGGAGGTGCGCAAGGATTTTATATACTACCTCGCCAATCAACCCGTCATGTTAAAGGCCAGCATGACCATGATTGGACGGCTCACGGCAAATGGTGGCGGCTTGACCTCGAGCGCGGTCAAACTTGATGTGCATATATATATATATAGTTTAATGGTCATCCATGCAACAACCAGAAACACGCACATCGGCATGGGAATAAGGTAGCGCTTGCCACCATCTTCTGGAACCCGGACGTTCAAAGCAAGGCCTCTGCATTCGAGTTCGAGGGGCAACCATGTCTGTCCAGCCAAGCAAAATGTGCGGTTTTGGGCGGAAAGGGCGTTGCCCAGGGAATCAAAAGGGTTCACGTAATCCACGAAGAACCCAAAGAACCCAGACTCACGACTCAGTGGACTGAAGCCGGTGACCAGGTTGAAGGACGTGATGATTGAAGTAGACGTGGTTGAAGTGAAGGTTAAACAGCAAGTTGCAAAAGATCACCTTAACCAGGCCCAGGCAAGTCCTGCCGCAGCACCACCTACCTCCTAGCACCAGCCCACCCCAGCGCCGAGAGTCCTTTCTCGGCGACGCAGCGAGATGCCGTGCTATGGCGAGTGCCGTGCTACCAAAACTAACCTGACGGGAGGTTAAACTTGAGCCAAACGGCCATTCGGCCGATTCGCTTATGAAGAAACAACACGTGAACGAAACACACCCCCCTCATCCGATATCTGGACGAGAGAAAGGATGCAAGACAGTTGAGTTCGCGACGAAAGGAACCAACCAAAAATGCCAGTGTCCACTCAGAGGTGAGCCGTACGGCAGCACCTGGGCCCCAGTCAGGATTATTTGACGAGTGGCCCACATGAGACGAAGATTCCTCTCGTGCCGTTCATGTATTGTCATGGGACAGTAACACCCGGAGGGGGACCCTATCTGGATCACCGCGCCTCACAGCATGTCACAACGTGATTGGAGGTGGTATCGAGTTGGGAGGAAAGATAGAGATGTTCCGAAACTGGTGAGAAATCAAAAAAATCCGGCTACGGCCGGGCCGGCACTTCTAGTGCGGTCACAGCCTCACACAGGATCACCAGGGGAACCGTCTCCAGCGCGCACGGCAGCGGTGCGGGAGGAACACGAACAACGCCGGAGCGGTACAGGGCAATGGCGATCATCACCCCCAGCAGCGCCGCATGGGCGAGAAGAGAGCCAGTGCAGCCGCCTTTTTCGGCGACATGTGCGCCATCCTCGCCCTTCTAAGGCGGATGATGATTGTGGTACCTGCCTACCACCCTGAACCGGGTTCTTCCCGGTCTCTGGGCGCGTCATCTCTTCGACGTCCACCGCGGTCACCTCGGCCGCCTCCTCCATCCCGACGGCGATCCTCATCATCGTCTCTACCGCGGTCGCCAGCCGGGGGTCGGCGAGGCGGAGGGGGATCCGACTGGTGACGTCGGTCATCCCTGTGCCGATCTCTGTGGCGATCGCGACGGTCATCGGCGGGGCCATCACGTCCGCGGCGCTCATCTCGCCCCGGACCGCGCCTCTCGGAGGGCTCCTCACGGCGTGGAGGAGGCCGGCGATCATCGCGTCGGCCTCCGCGGGTATCCCTGCCACGGTCATCCCTTTGTCGGGGCGGGCCAGGATCCTCGCGTCCATCTTTACCAGGTCGGTGTTTTCCTCGACCCTTCGACTCACCCTTGGGGCCGCGACGATCCCCGCGAGTCCCAAGCGCGGTCCTTGATCGATCGTCGTCTCGGTGGGGTCGCACCTCATCGGTCGCATGAGTGGTCCGAGGCACGCCCGGAGGAAGTTCCCATTCTCCGTCGTCATCATCGCGCGGGTCATAGCCGCTACGGCCGCCCAAGGAACCAGTGGCATCCCGTGGTGGGGACGCAGGAGTTCCGGGACCGCCAGACTGAAGACGAACCCGGGGAGTCGCTTCCTCGCCGGTGAAAGGATCCTTCTGGGCGTAGAACCCCTTTGTCCTGCCCCTCCTCTCCCCTTCTTCCGCACCGCTTCTCGCGGGGACCGGGGATGGTCGGGCAGGCTGGGCCATGCTCTTGGAGCTTGGTTGCCCGCCAGGTGGGATGTGAACGCCCCCCTGCCCTTTCTCGGGCGCGGGGACCCGACCACGAGATGTCCTCCTGGCCTTGGGTTGATCGACGTCAGCCTCCAGCTCGGATTCGGTGTCAGGGACACGAGTATTGACGGCCACGTCCTCTTCCTCAAACGGATCCCCAGCCGTTGTGACGCCCGTCGCATTCGGAGCGGGAGGAGGAGGAGGAGGAACTGGTACAGACCCGCCAGAACCGATGCCTGTGTGGGACACCACGGGGGTCTCCGGTTCTACCGGGACAGGCGGCGCGGGAGGAGCCGGGGGCGGTGGCGGAGGAGGAGGGATCTCCTCCTCATCGTCGTCCATGGGCTCGTCAAGGTCCTCAGGCTTCTCATCGTCTTCGTGCGATGATCCTTCCGATCCCAGCTCATCCTCCGCAGATCCAGCGAAGTCGGGCTCTTCCTCGTCTTTCACGCCGGGGCCTGGTGTAAGGCGGATCCCGGGTCGATGGCGATCGCGGGGTCGGAAGCGGTATTTCCTGGGTGTAGGATCGGCCAGCTCCTGTTTGACGTCGTCCTGGGTTTGCGGACGGTCGGCCAAGCATGTGTCGTAGGCAACGGTGGATGTCCGGTAGATCAGCTCATCCATACTGCTGAGGTCGTTGAGCGTGTAGGCGTAGCCCTTCTTTATGCCTTCCCGCATCGTGTCCATAGCCTGCAGACGCGCGGCGGGATCAAAGCCGGCCTTCCTCCTCATGGCTTGCATTACCCCACAGTGCCTGGCGAGTAACTCCACCTGGGCCTTGAACGTCTCCCCGGACACATCATTCGGAAGTATCGGAGAAAGATGCCCGGATCTCAGCCCGATGATGTGAGCTTCGACCATGTAGTATGACGTGTAAAAGCCGCAGCGGTTGGCGTTGAAGTTCGCGGTGGTTAGGCGTCTGCCCCACTCAGCCGCATACCCTTCATATTCTTCGAAGAAGTCGGAGACGGTGTTCCCATTGAAAGCAAGACCCCTTACCAAGATCGCCTTTGCGACCCACTCTTCCACATTGTGGTCAACAGTGTCAAGGTATTTGCCGTCAAGAACCTCGTCTCGGAGCGAGTCATGGAGTTTCCGGAAAATGCCATCCACGTCCTCTTTGTCGAGGTACTTAGGAGGTCGCATTCCAGACATCAGCAAGGACCGGGCGTCAACGGCGAGTAGAGGGCCATTCCGATGGCGTTGGCGTCTGCGTTGTTCCACAGAGCGGGGACGACGCCCCCGTACTTCCCCAACCAGCTGGGGATCACCCCATCAGTGCTCGCTATCGTGCGAGGGCCGCCGTCCGTGTCTCCGGTGGGCAGGACACCCTCATAGAAGATGGGAAGGTAGCAGGCAGTGCACAGGTGAGCGCCGATCGGATGAGCCGTCATGCACCTATGGCATGGAACAGACAGCACCCCCCGGACATGCTCCGTCTTGATGATCTGGTGAGTCTTCCCCACCTCGTCCCGACACTTCCTCGGGTTCTCACTCACGGAGCTGAGGAAGTTGGGCGGATAGCACCATGGCCTCAAGTAAATGATGGAGCAGTCCTCCTTGAAGTAGACGCATCTCCAGTACCCGATCGCGATGTTTTCGCGCGATGCAAAGGTACCCTGACGAGTTATATGCATGCCCCCATTTTCCATGGAGAAGAAACGTGCATCGATGGCCATGACCATGTATCGGGGATCGCTCCTCTGGCGTCGACCCGAGGTGTGCAGCTCTGTCACATTGCGATCGGTGATGCGGTCGACAGTGTCGGTGGGGCATTCACCGTGATCGCGGATGGGTTGGTACTCATCCGGCCTGGATGGGAGGAGCTCAATCATGGCTCGCCCACCCCGAATGATCGCTCCACGTTCTACGTAGATCCGATACATCCGAAGTGGCACCACCTTGTAGAGTGTCTTGGGAACCGCCATAGAGGTGATAGGAAGACAAACAGGGCTCTCGTAGAGCATGTACTGATATCGTTCACGAAATGCTCGGTAATCAGTGTCAGATCCGATCTCAAGCGACCTTACCGCCGCTATGCGGGCGGAACCTGGCAGCAATCGACGCTCCTTGTCACGGATGACGGTGATGATGATCTCGAACATTCCCACCCCGTCTTCGAGGAAAGAAGACAGGAGGTACAACGAAAAGGCATCGTCTGATTCGAGACTGGTCCCGAAGTAGTGGCTCAGGAACTTCTTCAGTTGTATCACCGAAGTGACGTTCCCTTGCCCGCTGGCAGACGAGGCCTCCAGTTCTGGGTCCTTGACCGCGCCAGCATTTCCAGGCTGCACGGCTGGATCTCACTCCCATCTCCAGGAATCGGGCAATATCCCCGATTTTAGCGCAAAGAGTAGCGACCGTGTTTCCGATCCTGGGGGCGATATCTTCGCCTCTCCTGGCGCCGAGGATGACCACATTCTTCTTGATGGATTCCTCCTTCAGCTTCTCGAGGTTTCGCCGAGTGTCCTCAGTGCCCTTCACCGCGCTGAGGCGAAGAACAGCAGGCTCTGGCTTGTCCGGTCGCACGAGCTGGCCGTCGGGAATCTGGTCAAAGATATGCGAGGCGGATTTCACCGCTGGAACGTTCCTATACTGACCCGGCACGCTGTAAAAGGCGTAGGAGAGAGTGTCATGCGAAGATGTCTCCCAATACGTGTATACTCCTCGGAATCACGCGGGTCGCCAACGACGCGACTCACGGTCCTCAGCTCGGCCAGAGCACGCTCCGCCTCGAACTGTGAGCCGATAGTCGTGGGCAGCATGGCCCTCTCCTCCTCCGTGCAGTCGACGTATACGAACTGGCCGGTATGCAGGTCCCTGGGCACAGCGAATGGCCCTGCAGTGTCGTGAACACCCAGCAGAGCGCTTCTCGCCTCGGCATGACTAGGGAGTGCATTCGCAGGAGGATGGGCGGG